TTTTCATCACATAAATGTTTGAAGCGCCAATATAAAGATGCATGGTGTGGGAAACAAATAGGTAATCATTGTTGCAACTAATACGCTTTTGAAATCATTTGCAATATGCAAGAATAAATTTACACGTCAAAGTGGCTGCCAATACACACGCCGCTAGCACACCACTTGCTAATATAGTGAGTTTGTGTTCCCCTTGGTTTCGCATCCACACCACGCTTTCTCCAACTTTTTTCTTGAGCACGTCTAAGCCCACTTCATTATTCTCAATGACATAGCCCGCTAGCTTTCGCTTTTGCTCTAGTGGCATTTGACATTGAATACGGCTACGCGCTTCCTCCTCGGAAAGTCCATTGCGAACGTGCAACCTCTCAACTTGCATTTGTTCTGAGCACGCAATTACTAATGAATTACTAATGAAAAAAGTGAAAAATCCCGACTCAAAAAGCGTGGGAGCATCTAAAATCACCACATACGGGTCTGTGGAGCCATGCCATAACCCTTTCCACCAATGGTAAGCGATGTGTGCTAGGATACTCCGATATATTGGACCATTCATAATTTTTGCGAGGTCACGGCGGGCCTTAGCGTTGTTAAATATAATTTTCCCTAAAGCTTCACGGCGCAGGGTACCGGTGAGCGGGTCTACGCACTCTGGCCAGCGTTGAGCAATTCTGCGAGTGCACGGCGCTCCCGGAGACTGAAGCTCGCGCACGATAGTATCGGCATCAATGATTTGCATGTGATGATCACGTTCAAGCATAGCTGATACGGTAGACTTGCCACAAGCAATACCACCTGTAAGGCCTATGAGGATCATGTGGTTAAATTAAAATAGTAAAGCTACAAAAGAATTAATAATAGTATAGCAGCCCTTGACCTTCCCATGGAGAGGATGTACTTGTAAAGATTCATGCACAGGAAAGCAAACAAAAAACTCATGAGGGCGCCAATAGAAGACAGACAAGTTCAGAGACATAACTCTACCGCAACAGGATACAAGGACGAATATTTTAATTGTATGTTAATCTAAGTTTTAAATAGAAATAATGTAATCATTTGGGGCATAGCATTATACAGCTTCACTTCTTGCTTGCGCGAGCGGCGATTGCCTTCTGCATGCGCTTCTTAGCGGCGGAGTTGGAGTCCATCTTGGCCGCCTTCTTCTGGATCTTCCGGAGGGCGATCTTATGCCACGACACGGGTGCCTTGGCATCCGCCTCGTCGAAGATCTTACGAGCCCAGTGAGCCCGCGAGCGGCGGGCAACGCGGAGCTGATAGCGCTCGAAGTCCGTTGAGACGGCCAGAGCCTTCTTCGCCTCCACGCGCGTGGCCGTGCGGGTCTTCGCGTAGCGGTCGAGAATCTTCGACGACGCCAAGGCTTCCTTCAGGGCCTTGCCGCTGCAGTTGCGCGAGATATTCACGCAGAACTTGAGCGGCTCAACGTTGCGGAGGTTCTGGACATGGCGCCAGACCTTCTTGTCCTCGGGATTCTCGACGAGCACGCGATTGCCGTCCACGATGTCCACGATGACACCAATGTGGTCCTGACGAGGTCCACGGAGGATGCGCACCAGGCGTCCAGCACGAATGTAGTGGGACTTTACCATTATATACTATTGCTACCCACTATATATATAATATTTGTTTTATACATTTGAGAGAAAAAAATGGAGTTCATTTATTTAAAATTAGGAACCACTCTCCAAAACCAAAATAGATCAAATTTATTCTATATTCTCTGCAAAGCTTCATTTAGGCAATATATTCGATTGCAACTTTTGTTTGGCGAGGGTAAATGCAAGCAGAAACCAACCCCCTTACCCCTCTCATCATAGATAAAGTCATTTTTAAGAAGTAACAGCAGACCCCGCAGTTGTTCCCTTTGCGCTAACGCATCTCTGAGAAAATCACCTTGACATCCTTCATAATCAGACTGGATGAGTTTAGCTGGTCGTACAAGGAATACGTCTCATACACATAAAAAGCAACACTAAGTGAGTTCACAGCATGGATCCGATCCATTTTATTTAGTGATATGAGCCCAGCTCCAATTGGAGTTTCATCCCCGTCCTGCGGCCGTACTTCTGTTAGGTTTAGACGAATAAACTGGGTTGAGTCGGCGCCAGGCCACTTGAGCAACACCAGGTGCTCTATCCACCGCAGGCTTCCACTGGCACTTTGGTAACTTGGTAGCGTCTCACCAATGACAACTTGCCAGCCTTTTTGGTCAAGCAATGTGATGCTAACCTGAAAAGATGGCGAAATGCCTGTTAACAAACCAGATACCATGGGGAATCCGTAGATAGTTCCCAGAACAATCGTACACATGCATGTTTTCTGGTAAAGATTCAGAAGAGGCCCTCGTACCGGGAATGTATCAATTTGGTCAGCGTCTCGCACAACAAAGGAGCCATTCGCATTGAGCACTGACTCAGAAAAAAGGTCTGTGATAGCAGCCTCAGTGAGATCAATTCCCTGCATGGTCCCATCCCTTCGAAAGGCTGAATCCATTGCTAACTTGTTCCAATGGTTACTGGGTCGGCTCATCGCCAGCGGCATCCCGTCGGTCCTCAGCAAGACCTGCTCTCCCTTGTCTTTGTCAAACGCAACGATCATGCCTTCGGTTGGGTCAACAAACCCGCCACTGCTCAAAACACGATACACGGGAAGGATAGCACGAAGAATAGGGAGCTCTTGCGAAGCTAGCATATGTCGGTTCGTAATACAGGTAGTGTTTACCCAGTAATGATATGGAATATTTGTTGTCGTGGGCTGAGGAACCGTGATGTGTACTTTGACAACAATCGGAGCGGACGGTCGCTGCAAGCCATTCACCACCAACCTAATTTCGAGAGCACGCATGCAGGCCTTTTGAGAGTGAACCCACGTCGCACTGAAATACATCCGTTGCTGTGGTCTCACCGTAATAACATTTGGAGGTTCAACACTAATGTACATAGAAGCCTCCTTCAAAGGTATTAGTTGCATGGCCAGAGAACTGGACTCAGTCATGTTCATGACGCAAATCACATTGGAGATGATGTACTGGCCAGTAGTCGAGAGCAAAAAAGGTGGGTAGTAGAAGTCTACCGTTGAGACCCGTACCGCACCGTAGTTATATTCGAGTGGCATGTAGTTGCCTTCTGGGGGCTCGTCCAGCAAACTGCTGTGTATTTCCACATCCAATACCGCGTGGACTGCTTCAGAGTCTATTGCGGTTTGTGTTGGCGTGATGTGCAAGCAATATTTCGAATATTGGTTACCCTCAGTTGCTATAGACTGCGCATTGAAGGCGGCCAACCCAATTATCTTGTTTGGATGATTCGCACTGGCTACTTCGAGTAGTAGCATAGGTTCCTCGTGGAGTGGAATTTCAATACCCGCATCAAGTCCCCATACGGCGCCGGTCCAACCCTGCCGATCGTACTTTATCATCTTTGGAGGTGTGGTTCCGATGCGAACCAACTTGGATTTGACATGTATTATAATAGGACTCGTCGCGTCCCACTGATGCTTGCTACGTGAGGACCACTGCGACGTCTCCTCAGCTGTTTCAACAAGCCTAAAACGCGTAATATGTAAAATAAACTTTTCTTCAGGCTTCAAATTGTGTTTGTGAGCATGAAGGTCCGAGGTCCCCTCAGAAGAAGCTAATGATATGCTCGTGCCGAGCATTTTCGCACAATTATCAGAAGCTTTTCTCAGTCTCTGTATTTGACAGTAAAAATAATGACCTAGGAGGAGTTGATGGCGTAGTTCTTTGTTACAAGAAGGAATGAAGTAGAAAAAATCAGAATTGCGATTTTTTTAGAAATGAAAGTTCAGCAAAGGAGCTGATGGCAAATCGAATCTCAAAAAGACATCGACCCCCAACTTCAGACCAAAAGATATGCTATTTGATAGAATTCAAGACAGTAATAAGAAGGGGTTGTTATAATATCATTAGCAAAATGGAAGCAAAGCACCAGCAATTCCGCTACTACTGAAATCACTTATGTCACATTTCCCCTCAAAAACCCTGTTGAAATGGTTGATATATTTATGCACATGCATGCACTTTATTGACTATTTTTTCCAATTTCATGGCACATCTTCTTGGAAAATTGAGTCTGCTCTTTCCCTGTTAGAATAGAATAAACAGGAAGTCTAGCTTCAATCATGGCTTTTTTCGATTCACTATAAGAAATATTGGCGATCATCGTAGTGTTGACCCAAAGTAAGTAACCTTGGTTTGTTTCTGATGGTCTTGGAGGCTCGTTGTGCAAATGAACCTCCATTGGTGGCACGCTTTCACCATCTACTGAAATAAGAGCTCGAACTCTAATCGTACCGCCATCACGATTCCTTCCTGTAGTAGTGAATGGCTTGAATACATTCCATGTACAAGCAAAGAAACCCATTTCATCTTTTTCATGGAGTATAACTTGAGAGGGGCTGATTCGCATCACGCTGCCGTCTCCTGTTACCACTAATTCAATTGACACCATCTTGTTCTCACAGTTTTCTACAATAATAACGTTAGAGACAATATAGGTCCCTGTACCGGTGAGGAAACATGCTGGAAAGTATAGAGTGTCAGCAGAAAATTTAAGAACAGAATAAGTCACAGGTGTTGGAGTGCGGTCACTTTGACGAATTCCAACAGCTCTGCGCATATTTTCATCGCTTGATAAAGCACTCACTACATCAAATTCTAAGAGACCGTAGATGGTATTATCATCCACACTTTTAACTCGTTTTGGGACAAGCAATATGGAGAACCTCTAGGCTGAATCACTAAGAAAGGCAGAGCTCACATTCACAATCGAAACACATTGCACCTTTCCTAATACGTTGATAACCTCTATGACTAGAATTCCATCTGCCATGCTTTTAGAAACGTCAATGCAAGCCTGTTCCTCATGATATTTGCTATGTTCAAGTGGAGGCGATAGTGAGTCGCATGCCGAAACATCTGTATCGTTCCTACACTCTTTTTGACCTCCGTATTCGTTAGTATCAGTATGTTCTATGGTAACAGGCGCAACTACTCTAGAAATATCCCCTTCTCATGCCTCTACTGGTTGGTTTAAAGTGGGGGAAGGCGGGGGTGTGCCCTCATTCCAGACTATGCCCCAGATTCCTTCAACTAGGTTGTAGGATACATCTTTCGGAATTGTTGTGCCTAAGATAATCTCGGTCTTTCCCTTTACGCGAACTGCTAATGGTTTTTCGATACCCCATTGTCTTTTGGCGCGATGTAGCCATTGGGTCCTCTCCTCGGCCGAGCTAATTAAAATGAATCGCTTTACTTGAAGCACTTTGCATATTCTTCATTAACGATTGCTTTTATTCATACTGTTTAATTGTATTGCAATAAGAATACGATATGGAAGATGAAAGTATGGCGAAAGATAGATACTTTTCAGCACCATCCCCCCATTTTCCTACATTCCAAATAAAGTTTAATACAAAGACTCATTTTAGGGTTCAACATTAATATTATTTTTTCTAAATCAAGATAATCACTATACCGACTTGGGTTCGAAAATTCTACTAAGGCGGTTTCAAATGGATATAACATACTTTATTCGAATATTCCACTAAGAACATTACAAGGCGTCTGCCGCGATTTGTAAAAACATGTAATTGACATTAGATGATTGGTATTATTTCCATACCTTGTCTGTTGATACACATATTTATACGTTATGTGACAAAATACGCTTCATAGGACCGTCGTCTAGACAAAACGAAAAAATAATAATCATAAAGTTGTGATTAACAGTATCTCAACCCGATTCCCTAATATTATCAGCATATGATTCTCGAGATAGTTTAACTACATAATAGCAGCATGTGCACTAATCCATAAAATCACTTTTAGGAGTTTAGAAATTTAAAGCCTGGTGGAGCCTCTTGGCATCGTACACATAGGCGAAAATTTTTTATGCTTAAATAAACTTGCAGAAGTAAAGGAGTTTGAATGTGTTTATCTACCTCATGCAAACATTTTAGCAGAGGGATTGAGAACAAAAGTGGGGAGCAGTGCCTGGTAAAGCCAGATTGTTTCAGCTTGAGAACATATTATTAACACGAGACGCTAAAAAACAAATACATGAGGTTGAAAAAAAGAAATCAAATAATATTTTTTGTTATTGCCCCATGGATAAATTAATATTTTCAAGAGATTACCAGTTCACCTGGTTTGGCAATAATGATATCTTCCTCCTCTTCCTCTGCCTCTTCGTCATCCTCGTTCCCCTGCTCCTTGGAATCATTCTGCATGTTAGGTTTCTCCACATTTGCCTTAATGCCGGAAACCAATTTATCTACGTCAGGCAAGTCCCCATCCTGAGCAGAATCGACCAAAATTGGTGCCTCATCGTCTCGAATTACTGCCAAGTTGCCGAATGCAACGGTAACACATTTCTTTTGATCTGCCGTCAACGCCAACGGCTCGTCAAATTCGTCCCCACTCTCTACCTCAATCATGTTATCCTCGGCCTCGCTGTCAGATGAATCCACGTCATTATAACCACGGACAAAAGAAGGTGCACTCATAGGGCTATCATCAGTGAGCGTTCGAATCGCTTTCGGTGCGTTCGCGATAGATGTGTTGATTTCTGATTCTAGATCAGACAACGGATAACCAATCAGCATTGCGATCGCACGCACAAGGTCTTGTGGGAAAATGTCAGAGCGAAGTTTCTTGATTGATAATGCAAGGTAGTAATCCATACAGCTGCGGGCCATCTTCAATGCACGGGCAACTTGCTTCGTTGTCACATACATTTTTTTCCCTCCGTCAAAGAACATCGCCATGCTGTCATTATCATTGATGAGGTCAGGGATGAGGGGTGATGATGGCCCCATTTTACTCTCTGGGCCAAGCAGGATGGAATTTGGGACCTCCGATAATGGGTAAATTGAGAGCTGATTTACACATAGCGCCACATCAAGAGGGGATATACACGACGAGTCAAATAACGTGAGTGCGGATTCTAATTGCATTCGTTCATAATACATGACAAAAGTTCTTGATTCAAGGTCACCTCGCTTAGCAAAGGCTAATACTGAGCTCATGGTGAAAACAGACGGCTTGTTGTCCCAACAAACAACCTTTGGGATTTGATCCCTTCGCTTTGCCAGAAACTCAATTGATGCAATGCGAGGGTATAGCGACCACAATACAACAAGACGGACAAGCCCTGTGTTTCCATCATGACGGGAAGCATCGCGGGTAGGATTTTTCAGTCGTCTCAACAGGGGCGATCGGAGTACAAGGTTAATTAGTTGTTGTTTCGTACGATCTAGCGTATGCAGTGCCGATTGATCTGCGAAATGCTCAGTTGCGTAATGACAACTTCGACCACTCCTTAACCACTCGCGGTATATCTTCAGGGAGCACAAGTGATCAGAAAAGTCGTTGTTATCCAAGATCTTCATGGTCTCACGTACAGCAGTCTTCTCAGATGCCTGAGGCTTCACAAAGAGCGTCTTCACTGACAGCCCAGCCGCAATCGTTGTTACAGAATCTAATACACCAAAACATGCGGAAGCGAATAACATCTTTCCAAGAAGTGGATGCACCGGTATCTGAGCCAATGCGTACCCAAGGTTCGTCAACATTTCATCGTGACTTGTAAGCGCTCCCATATCTGTCAGAAACTGTACAGCGTTCCGCACTGACGTCACCGGTGGAGGGTCCATCGCTCGGGCCAGTACAGCCTCACACCTTTCCGTCAGATGAATTGCCTTCAATTGCAGACACACCTCCTCTAGAGGTGAGCGCATCATCTCGGGTGGCAAAAAGTCTTCCAGGCTATCGTATATTGAAGCAGGGAGCAAGTGAACACATACGCCTGCTTGACAACGGCCTGCTCGGCCACGTCGTTGCTTACCATTTGCTTTCGCAATTAGCGTAGCTTTTAGGGAAGACAGATTAGAAGAGGGGTCATATAACGTTCCCTTAACAAGCCCACTATCTATAACGTAAATTACATCATCGATTGTGATACTTGTCTCAGCAATACTTGTGGCTAGTACAACTTTTCGGTAGCGTTTTGGAGCTGGCAAAAATACTCGCTGCTGTTCAGAGCTTGTGAGACTTGAGTGGAGCATCAGGATATACAGCTCTCGATATGTCGGCAAACGGTAAAGCATGCTTTGAACACGCGTTATGGCTGCCCACCCAGGTAGAAACACAAGGATGCTACCCGAAGAGCTGCGTTCTTTCTCATGTAGATATACAATTAATTTACAGATCAACTCGTACGGCACCGTCGCCTCGGCATCGCGTTCAACATCATTGAAGACAGTGTCTCGAAGTTTTTCGTACAAAGTTTGTTCCTTGGTATCATCTCCGTCGTTATTCTTTCCTGTGTTCGCGTTATTGCGCAGGAGTCCCATCGCTGGCACAGACGTGGCAGGTACTCCTACCCACCGGATTGCATCTTCCAGAAAGTACTCGTCGACAGGAAACAACGTGCCTTCAATACTAATCAGTGGTACCTCTGAATTGGAGTTCACTCCAGAGAAATATTTCACCAGCGTCTCGATTTTCACCGTTGCTGACATTACCACAAGTTTCAGTTTGGTAGGATACTCGTCGGGATATTGGCGTTGTGCCAACAGACGATCTTTCAAAAGCAACAGGGAAAAGTCCGTTTCCACATCGCGTTCATGAACTTCGTCGACAATCACGCACGATACCCCGTTCAATTCTGGCTCTGTATGCAGATGCCGCAGGAGGATACCGGTTGTTTCATACACGATCCGCGTATTGGGGCTGGTTTTATTTTCAAAACGAATTACATACCCACAGGTATCGCCACATGCCTCACCGCGCTCCTCTGCTACACGGCACGCCACCGAAAGCGCACTAATTCGGCGCGGCTGTGTACACACAATAATCGAATCGCTAGGAAAAATGTGTGCATCAAATATTATCTGCGGCACCTGTGTCGTCTTACCACAACCTGTGGCACCACACACAATAACAACATCATTATCACTCAAGGTATTAACTATATCATTACGCCGTGCAAAAGTGGGGAGCGCTTGACGCTGCCTTTGCAAACTTTGATAGCGTGATTCATCCCTTTTGTATGATGGTGCAGTGGATAGACCCCCTTGGAGCATGCACATTCGTTTGTTGCGTCTCTGCAGACGACCAGGCTCGGTGCGTAAAGTTTCACACATGTTATGCCAATATTTCTTCATTAAATTTATGGATTCTTCAGACTGATCTGGACTAGGACAATTTTTCAGCACCTGAGCCCCTTGAAATCCTTCAAACTTCTTTATGCGTGTACCATTGATTGTGGACTCTTGACCTTGCAAAAGTCGTAGTGGTTTAGTTAACTTCAACACTCTATTTGAAGCGCTACCATGTGATTTATGATCAAGTTCGAAAATTGCTGCAATACGATGAAGGTCCTTACGCTGATTTCCTGATAGTTTTGGGGGCAAAGATAGCTCGTGAGCTTCGTTATCATTAACAAAAGCTTTAACTAAATCGAAGAAATCCTTATAGCGCCATGTCACAACAGAGTTTTCGTCGGGTATTTGAGAAGCAGACATTCCTGAAGAGGCAGCACCTTGTTGAATGCCAAAAGGTTTTGAAACCTTCTCGACATTTTGTTTCGCGTGCCGTTTTCGAGGAATATTCATTTCTTGCGCTGATGGACTTTGAGGTGGATCGACGACTGATTTCCCATCTTCAAAATGAAATCTCGGACCTTTTTTTTTTTTGACCTAGGGTGTTGTGGCATCACCTTTAAATAAACAACAATGTTGCGTAGATCTATATTTCCTATAATAAAAATAACAATATTTTGTAAGAAAAGAATGAAGCTGGTGAGTTGGTTTTAAAGTAAGTCAATGATAAGCTAATAATATTTAGACATAACGAAAGAAATAGTAATAATATTAAGGACATAAGGTACTATGAGCTTCAAAATAATCATAATTAAAAGGAAAAGCGATAATAATGTTCCATAAAAAAAAATAGGGAAACCATACAAAGTTTTAATAATAGTGATGAAAGAAATCTCCGTCAAATGCGTAAGAAGGATTCACATCAATGTGCTCTTTTTGCCCAATGATGTTAAGCCTCCTCCGAGAAGTTTCATTGACCTCCCATAAAATTTCATCTTCCACAAGCGTTCCATCATCACTTTTGTATCGATAAATAAGAATCTCAAGAGCCGCTAGGTTGTTATACAGCCAACGGCTGATTCCTACATCTACAGCAAGAAGCTTGCCTCCACAAAATACTCCAATGCTTCCACTCTGTTGGGGTGTGTGTCCAATAATGATTCGTTTTGCGTTAAATTTAGTGATGACAAGATCTACAGTGTCGCAATGACCTTTCATCGCATCAAAAATCATTTCTCGGGTCCAGAGAAACCCTTCACTACCGAGACTAGGTATGCTATACTTTCGTTCATTGAGTGATTTTTGAACCAATTTATTGAGTTCATTTTCGCTCATGGGTTCATACTGGCTGCTTTGTGAAAACCCAGCGTGTACAAAGATCATATTTTCTTCAACATGAACTGCTTTGAAATGATCAATAATAAAACGTCCATAGGGTCCTTTGGGGCTAAAGGCCAGGTTCCGCAATGACCTAGAAAGAAAACCTCCTAAACCATTTGGGTTTACATAATGATAACTTCCCTGAAGATTAAGTAGTTCATGATTTCCAATAAGCAGGACCACTTGATCATGATGGGCACTTGAGCTCACTTGTTCATAAAGCGAAAATGCAATATTTAGACAATCCCGATCGTCTTGACCACGATCTATTAAGTCACCCATTTGAATGAAAGTAGTACGCAAAGGAATGCCTATATACTCATGTTTAGGGTTCCAAATAACACCAATTTCATCATTTTCATTAATCTCTTCATGAATGAGGTTAGAAAATTTCAATATTTTTCTAAAATTATCTGAGTCGCCATGGATATCGCCCACAACGACAATTCGATGAATTTCAGTTAATCTTTTGCCTTTACTGCAATGGCATAGTATCGGTGAAAATATTAATAAAAATAGTATACTTATTAATTTCATAATAGTCCAAGTACCCTCTTGAAAAAGAAGTTTTGCCTTGATATACCAATTTTCTTCTTAGAAAAAATAAAGACGCACGAAGAAAAAATGACAATTCATCATAAAATAAAAGACTAATCACAATATGAAAAAAATCTGTAATCAGAAAAATTCCAAATGCCCTGCCAACGTAAGAAAAATCACTACACCAAAACTACATCACCAATAAAAGCTAAACAAAGCTTTCAAAAATTTTTCCACTTTATTGTAAATTATATTATTAATACATCCACAAAAAATTACTGAAGCTAAAGCTGTCAAAAATAAAAAACAAAAGCACTACTCTATTTGGTGGTCACATATAGGCATAGCAATAAATTTATAAAGTTGCTGTTTTGGATGTGCATCAGCTGAATGGATTTGGATCTATAAAATAATAAGTCAATGCATTTTGTAGTAGAAAACAAGTAATCACATAAAGATCATATAGCATTTTTTTTTTTACATAACTTGAATTAATAAGATCTCGTTATGACTTGAAAATATCAAATAAAAGTTATGAACGACGATACCCAATCTCAATTAGTTCACATCATTAATGTTATGCGCTTTGACACGATTTTGTCAAATAAATCTGTAATACGCGTTCGCAATGGTCTAGTAACTTATAATAGACGATAAAAAATATACGGGTCTTCGCCTCTAGACTCCAAAGCTCTCTGAGAGTAGTTTTCCCCTCTATGGAGTGTTTAATTTTAGGAGCTCACTAATAATTAGTTTTTTTGAGTGGATATTTTTATAAAAATGTAGAACAGATCTAATCGGGTTCTATTATGATGATAAAAAAAATAATATTGAAAAAAGTGTCTGTTAAAACACTATAGCTGTTACGTGAGGAGGAAATCACTCTTCAATCGCCTAAAGAATAATAAAAAATTGTACTAAAATATGACCATCCAATCAATTGCTAACAACATGATGGCGGAAAACAATTATAAAAACGAAACCTCCTTTTGTTTGTTTTTATTAAG